CTAAAACGTTGGAAGATGTAGGCGAGGAGTATTTTTTGGATCTTGTTCAAAGAAGTCTTATTTTGGTTCAAAGGAAAGGGTCTAATGGCAAAATTAAAACATGTAGAATTCATGATCTCTTATGGGACCTTTGCGTCAGAGAAGCTCAAAAAGAGAATTTTTTCCATGTCATTAAAAAGAGTGTCGATGAAATTTATCAAGACACTGGTATGTGCCGTGCAAGTATTCATGTTGAGAAGAATTCTCTATCATTTTCGGACAGTGTGCAATTTTACCATGCAACTAAAGGTTGGGGCATAGAGCCTCGTTTCCGTGCAAGTTCTATAGGTTCTAGGCCACTTAAAGTTCTTTTCAATTCTAGGCGACTTAGAGTACTGCATATGGAGGGAATTCATCCTCTCCTAAAAATGGAACAATTGGTTAAATTGAGGTACATCTATTGCTTCCCTCAAATGTCCACTGCATCAATATATAAACTTCGAAATCTCCAAACAATAGTTTGTTTGGATGATTATGGGTCCATTGAACTACCACCAGAAATATGGGTGATGCCACAATTGAGACATGTCATGTTGAATGCTTCTGTACATCTTCCTGATCCTCCTATTTCGGAAATTGAGGGAGAAGAAAATTCTATTGTTGTTCTAGAAAATCTACAAACCCTCTCGAGGATATATAATTTTAGGTTGACGGAGGAGGTCCTCAAAAGAATTCCAAATCTACGGAAATTGGCTGTCCATTATGATTCTATTGAGGTGGCCAGTTGGGAAATATACTGTCTCCATAATCTTGCGCGTCTGATTAAACTTGAATCATTAAAATGTTGGCTTACATATACGTTCCCCTGTTTCCTAGCGCATGTCACTTTTCCAACGTCACTCAAAAAGTTGACTTTAGAAGGCACGGAACTTCATCCCAAAGATAATCTCAAACTTCATCCCGAAGAATTGAAGATTCTTGGTAAGTTGCCCAATCTGGAAGTGCTGAAATTGAAAAACTGTGCCTTCAATGAACTAGAGTGGGAACCAGATGAAGGAGAATTTCTCAAATTGAAATTTCTGCTGTTAGACGACGTTCATCTGAAGCACTGGAGAGCTGAGAGTACCAACTTCCCGAGTATCGAGCGCCTAGTCATTTCGATCAGGTCTTGCAAAGAGCTGGATGAGATCCCTAGTGGTTTTGGGGAAATTTCAACTCTTCAATCCGTTGAGTTGTGTGGCTGTGGAGATTCAATCGTAGAATCAGCAAAGAAAATAGAAGAGGAACAATTGAGTTGGGGAAACGATGCCTTCAAGTTACATATTCAGAAGTTCTAAATGTGCAGAGTTTCAAAGTTGTCCATTCCAATCATTTACTGGTACCATTTTCTTTTGTGAACCTTTTCCATTTTCAATTTGGCTTTCTTGTGTTCATCTACATTCTTACTTTCTCTCCTCTGAATTTATACAGTCTGCAGTTCGAGATATGGGAGTTCAGTTTAAGCCAACTTCGATTCAGTTGCTGTGCATTAGAGTGCAATTAAGTTTCTCTAAAGTCTGTACTGTACAACCATGATTTCATTTAGTGTCCTCGTTTGTCTATGTACTGTACAACCATGGTTTCATTTAGTGTCCTTGTTTGTCTATGTACTGTACAACCATGGTTTCGTCTCTTTATTTGAGGTTTTCGCATGATTTTATCAATATTATTGATAAATGTTGTTGAGATAATTAACCTTTATACTTGTGTGATTTATGTATCATTGTTCTTGTCATTACAGAATTTCTAGTTTCTGTGTAATACTGTTGTTGATAAATAATTAGGAATTATTCTATTAATTATAGTGTCACAATAACCAATTTCTACTTACAATTGTGGAGTATTTCAGATAATAATTTGATGATTAAACTGTGGATTATTTCAAATAATAATTTGATGATTGAACTATGGAGTATAGAGATTGTACAATTAAATTTTTTTCTTTTTTTTTTAGAGAATAGACCTAATCTCGCTTGTCATGTTTTGTGTTGGTACATTTGGCCCCTATATGGTAGATACTAAAATTAATATTTTAATTTAAGCCAATATTTTAATTCAAGTTAAAGACAACAATTAATTTTAATCACATATTTTATGTGAATCACACAATTCATCCACTTGTATCTAAATTTACTAATAATCTGATTTTAATCCCACCAAACGAGGGCTTAAAGTATGTTCATTAATTTCATGCTTTTGCTCAATCCATCAAAGTCATATTCATGGGAAGCGTTCAATGGACAAATGTATTTGAACAAATATATTTGACGAATAATCTTAACCCGCAAATTAGATTAATTTATGGTATAGAGCTAGAGTAAAAAAGAAAAATAATAATAATAATAATAATAATAATAATAATAATAATAATAATATGATGTGATTCGGCTTTGGCGCCAAACGACCAAGGATTTGATGAATGTTGGAGGGCAGCTAAGGACAAGATTCAAGCTTCATTCGGGCCAACAAAACCGTATAAATGTGTGGTCAAATTATGGAGTTCTAAATGGTGGAGTCAATCAGCCAAAGTCCTAGATTTGTATTGAGGTCGAAGGCCAAAAACCAAGCGAATCAACTTGTGGGAAGAAACCAAATCTGAGCCAAAAAAAAAAAATAATAAAACAACAAAACTGGAAACCATGCAGTCACACAGTGGAAGATTGGCTGCGATCACACAGCTAGCACCAGGCCGAGAGCAACTGGGCAGCAACCGGCAGTTCCTTGTGACCACAAACAAGGAAGGAAATGGTGGGGTCGCACCGTTCAAATTTTGGATGGATTTTTCCCAAATGTGCGTGGAGTCCTAAATTGATTAAATTACTTATTTTTGGCAAGTTTTAGGTTTCTAGGATTCTTAATTCCGTTTTGCCATATTTTAGGTGATATTTTGTGAACTTTAAAATTATTATTTTCCTTTCTATTACTTCTTAGGGTTTTTATATAAATAGGAGTTTATTTTCATATTGTAATACAAGACTTTTGAATTATGAATTATTGAATGGAGGATTTTCTCTCTCAAGGCGTGATGCTTTAAAATGCCGAACTTATCAAGATTTAATCATCTTGTGGCATTCAAACATACCGGGTGCGATATCATTATTTTGTAATTAAGAGGTCATTGGTTTAATATACCTTTGGTTGCTTAATTCACTATTTCGGAATTCAAATCCACAAATCCGGATGAGATTTCAAAATTAGGTGATTAAGAGGTCGTTCGTTTCATATACGTTCGGTTGTTTGGTTCACTTTTGTGGGTCGATTCCTAAACCTTGGTCGTAATTGGGTGTTCTTGGGATCCGATGTCAATATCCTGTGGGTTCGATAGCGACCGTGCTAACTAAGTTCGCATCATAATAATACTAATAAGTGATGGGAAATGAAAAAATTGTAGTCTTCTGCATGCTCCTCCAAAGCATCATCTTCAAAATTGATTAAATTGAGTACCAGCCTCCCATTGGGCCTGTGTGCTTCAAAATACTCACGGCGCTTCACTTTTTCTTCGTTGATAATCTCTGATATTCAATCTCCCATTACTCATGTAATACTTTTTCATCACCCACGATGTGTGAGATGGAAAATTTAAAGTTAGATCTATGCCCTTACATTAGATTTATTTAGGGGTTAAGATTATTTGTCAATTATCTTTGTCCTTTGAGTGCTGTCCATTATTCATTACTTACTTGGGGTTGGCTACTTATATCTTGTTTGTTGAGACTCGAGTCTGCCCATGTATATCATATGATTTGCACTTTGTCTCACTTGTTGTTTAGTGTAAATGTAGCAAGCATAAAAGGTTGGATATTTTTAGTCAATCGCAGACTTTATCCCGATTATATGATCATTCTACTGATACACATTGTCAAAGATGGATCGAAGAATTTAGTTGGGGGCTAACACAATAACGAATTGACATGTTACCCATACGAGATGTTTGAGATGCTACATAGCATATTATGTTGTTCTAAGGCTGAACACCTTGGTGATACGTTAACAATTCAACAATTCAAAAATCTAACAAAAGTTAGCAAGCTAATAATATTATTTGACAAGGCAGCAATAATTCATTAGTAAGCCAACAAAGCAACAACTATCCAATAAACGTGTTAGTGTGTAAATCAGTAGCTTGAAATCGCGAGTGAAGCAAATAAATAATCAAATTAAAAGTTGATACAATAAGAAAATCCATATTTATAAAGCAAAATGTAATCACTTCAAATCCGATGTTTTTAATTTGAAGTTGTAAATTAATGACCGCTTATTCAACAACTTGCATAATTAGTTAGTTTTGTAGTTTTTAAATTAAGTTTGTAGTTTGTACATTAATGATCATTTTTTTATTTTTTATTTTTGTAGATTCGAGTAAAAAAAAATCGAAAAGTCTGTGAGCTAGCAATCTTACAGAATCCTTTTCATCTTCTTGTAATAGCACTGACACGGACATGAGTGTCCGATATAAAAACATGCGATTTTACAAGAAAGTATCAGGACGATATGTCATCGATACGTTGATTAAAATATTCTTTAATTTATTTATAATTGTTTTATCTTAATTTTTTAAAATTATTTATTTATTTATTTTTATGTAATAATTAGAGGATTTGAGCAATGAGAGTTTTCTCTTGTAATGGAGCCTAAGGGCCTGCTTGGGAGTTTTTTTTTGACTGGTTTTGGGGGTATCGTTTATGAGGGTTGGAAGAACTGGTGTTTGCGAGTTTATTTGGGCATCGGTTTTGGGTGGTTTGAAAAACGCCCAAAAACGAAGTAGTTCATTTTTGGGAGAACTGCCAAATCGGCGGGTTTTGGACGTTTCTCTAGTTTTATTCCAATTTTACCCTCTATAAAATAATTAATTCCAACCGATATATTTTGTTCAAAACTAAATTGTAAATTAAAATATATTAACTAAAAATTATATTATAAATAGTTATAAGTAAAATATTACTTGTAAGATAAGAAAAATTATATTATAATTAAAAATTAATTATAAGTAATTTAATATTTAATTTTTCAAATTAAATTTTAACTTATATGTAAAAAAAAATCTATAAGTAAAATATTACTTATAGGTAAAACAAATTAATATAAAAGAAAATTTTACTAAGGGCATTTACGTAATCTTATCCTTTTAAAAAACTTTCAGAACCGGTGGATATTAAACTCCCAATCGTGGGTTGGAGAGTTTTAAAAAATGTTAACAAAACCGCTTATAAACGCTCAGAACCACTACTTTAAAAAATGCTCAGAATCGCTACGGCGAAACTCCCAAGCAAGCCCTAAAGCTTTCTATAAATCAAAGGGTTTGAGCAAGAAGAGAATTTTTAAGCCAACTTAAAAAATAAATAAATAGAGGTTGGTATACCTAGAACTGGATCGAAATAAGAGCGACTCAAGGGGTTATAGCCATGTCCAACCATAGCCCAAATCCCTTTTGTAACTTTTTATTTTTATTTTTATATTTAGTCCAAGTCCAAATTCAAGTTCAGTCATTATCCAAGTTCCAAGTCCATAGCTCTAGATTTAAGGACTGATTTAGGAACCCGATGCCACAGAGCCACCTCCATGTTCTTTAAAATAATTTCTTCTCAAAATGTAATTAATTTTTTAATTTTTTGATTTTCTCGTGTTTTCGTTGTTTTTAGTTTCCACTATTTTTCTTCTTGAAGATTTCTTAGTTGAATTTTCTTTCTTGAACAAAATATTATCGTTGTGGC